GGACTGGCAGCGCGAAGAGAGTCCGACTCAGGGTCGGCAAGCGCAGGAAGAGAGGACTCAGGAGGAGAAGGCAAAGGGGCACGCAGAGGAGCAGTGGACGGACGCAGAGACATCCGGTGCGTGCCAGGGACAGGAGGAGGACGCTGACGCGAACCGCGACCACTAGCGCGAGCAGCACGAACAGGCGACGCGGGACGAGACGCAGGCTCACGACGCTCAGCAAGACCTCCAGTAGGACCAGTGTAAGAAGAGGGAGCAGGCAGAGGAGAGGAAGGCTCCAACAGTGACTGCGACTGGACAGGCTGTGGACACTCTACCGAAGGAGAAAGACCAAGAACCTGCTGTAGGAGCGGAACGAAGTACGGCCGAGGCCGCGCGGCAGCTCGAGACTCAGCAGGGACAGCACCAGCACCCTCGGCGACAGCACCAGCGCCACCAACACCTCCAGCGGCAGGACCTCCAGCAGCACCAGCAGCAGAACCACCGCCAGGACAGACAGCAGTAGTCTCAGCACCAACACCCTCAGCAGCTCCAGCTCCAGTAGGACCCGCACGCCCAGCAGCTCCGGGACCGGCAGCACCAGCACCCTCGACGGTCGACGAAGCTCCAGCTCCAGCAGCACTCCTCCAGCGGCGAGCAAACCACTCGCGCAGCTCCTGTGGAGAGAGGGGCTCCCGGCGAGACGCAGCAGCAGGAGAAACCCCAGGCTCAGCAGCTCCAGACTCAGCACCCCCAGGCACAGCAGCTCCAGACGTAGCACCCCCAGGCTCAGCAGCTCCAGACTCAGCACCTCCAGGCTCAGCAGCTCCAGACTCAGCACCCCCAGGCTCAGTAGCTCCAGCTCCAGTAGGACCCGCAGGCCCAGTAGCTCCGGGACCGGCAGCACCCGCAGCAGGCGAAGAAGCTCCAGCTCCAGCAGCACGCCTCCAGCGGCGAGCAAACCACTCGCGTAGCTCCTGTGGAGAGAGCGGCTCCCGCCGAGACGGAAGAACCGGAGAGCCCCCAGGTCCAGCAGGCGCAGGCTCCGCACCTCCAGGCCCAGCACCCCCAGGCTCAGCAGCTCCTGACGTAGCACCCTCCGGCTCAGCACCCCCCGGCTCAGCACCCCCAGACTCAGCACCCCCCGGCCTCGCACCCCCAGGCTCAGCACCCCCAGGTTCAGCACCCCCAGCAGCAGCACCAGACTCAGCAGCAACCTCGACTGGCTCGACCGTGTCTACCTGGGACACACCCGAAGGGGCAGGAACCTGAGGGGGAAGGGGGTCTACCGGGGGGGGAACTGGTACCAGGAAGTCCGGTGGGGGGGGAAGGGAAGGAGTACGGTAGGGGAAGAGGCGGTAGAAGGGGACTGACTCGTCGAACGTGACGTCCTGGGAGGACAGAACACGACGAGAGGAGGGGTGGTAGAACTGCCACCCTGGAGCGTCAGGGGGGAAGCCAAGGAAGACATTGGGAGCAGCACGGGGGGACAGCTTGTCCGCAGACAAGTCGCGGACAAACGCCCGAGATCCCCAGACACGGAACACAGACGCATCGCCGACCTTCCCCGTCCACAGTAACACTGGGGACATCGCGGGCCGAGAGACCCTGGGGTGAAGGTTGAGCTGATGCGCCGCGTACCGAACCGCAAACGGCCACAGAAAATGGGGGGCGGCCGCATGCATCATGGACGTACGAGCGACATCCATGACCATGCCAATGCGGCGCTCAGCAATCCCATTTTGCTGTGGAGAGTCCGGAAGCGTAAAGGTCTGGCGGATCCCCTGTGCACGACAGTAGTCTCGCAGAAGGCGAGAGGAGAACTCCCCACCTCGGTCAGAGTGCAGACGCAGAACAGGAAAGTCCGAGCCGAAGCTCCTCCTGAGCTGGAGACGAGCCTCGCGGATCCAGTCGATCAGCACCTCAGTGACAGCACCCTTGCTGCGCAAGGGGAAGACTGAGGTGTAACGCGAGTAGTCGTCAACCACCAACAGGAAGTAGCGCTCGTGACCCTGCCCACGGACGGGGGCCGGGCCCCACACGTCCATGTGAAGCGTCTGCAGAGGAGCCTCTGTCGGGGGAAACTGGGAGGAGTGAGGAGCAGCCCTGAGGCGCCCCTCGACACAGGGGACACAGGAAGGTCCTGGTCCCGAAGGAAGGGGAGGGAGAGACTGGGGAAGACCAGAGACAAGGACACGGGAAGCCATGCCCCGAAGACGGGGCAAGGAGGGGTGGCCTAGACGGTGGTGCCACAGAAGAGTCTCGTGAGACAGGAGGCGACACGAACAGGGGGCAGACTCAGGACCAGACCTGGACGCAGCAGCAAACACCTGACCCGACGCTGCTACCTGACCGGACGCGGGGACAGGAGGAGACTCAGTGGTCAGGGTGTAGAGGCTCGACCCCGGCCGACGCGAGAACGTGGCCAGGTGCCGGCCTGTGCGTGCGTCCGTGCAGTGGGTCACCCGCTGACTCGCAGGAGTGAACTGGTGAACCCCCGCATCCTGTAGGTCTGCACCACTCACCAAGTTCGTCGAGAACGAGGGGAGGTACAGGCCAGACAGGGTGCCCGAGGGGGCAGCCGGACACGGGAGGACAGTGGAGAAGTGAGCGAGGACAGGACCCCCAGAGGGGTCAGCCAGGGAGACTGCAACCGGCCGACCAAGCGGCGTGAGTGTGGTGCGGTCCCGAAAGAAGGAGCGAGAAGCCCCAGAGTCAAGTGTAAAGGTGAGGGAGGCCGAAGCCAACGCGGTACCTGAGAGCGCAGCCTCACCCGCACCTGAGGAAGCAGACTCACTAGCACCTAGAGCAGCAGCCGCACCTGTACCTGGAGCAGGAGACTCACTAGCACCCAGAGCAGCAGCCTCACCAGTAGCTAGAGCAGCAGGTCCTATACCTGGGTCAGGCGGGACGCACAGGTGACCGGCACGGTCAGCACTAGTAGGCAATGCATACATGGCAGTGAGAATAGCATCATAGTCAAGAGCATATATATCTACCCTCTGCCTAAGCAACTCCACCCAGTCGGGAAGCTCAGCCTCGTCGCCAAACGCGGTACGCCAGGCGTCGCTCAGACGGGCGAAGCAGCGGGACGGTGTATGACTACGTGTCCCACAAGGCTGACCAGTCCGAGTACCAGTGCGAATCACGTAAGAGCAGCGAACAGCACTGAGAGACCCTCCACTCTGAGCGTACCACTCACGAAGCTGGCGAGGCGTGAGAGACACGCGAGAGGGTCGCGGGAGCTGCATCTGGCCGCCACCACGAGTAGAAGCAGCAGGAGTGGTAGTAGGAGTAGCGTCGCCACCCCTACAGCCCCAACCAGCGTACCACTCACGCAGCTGCTGGGGCGTGAGGGACTCACGCCGGCGTCGCTGGGGCTGCATTTGGCTCCGCAAGTAGAAGCAGGAGCAGGACTAGCAGCAGGGAGGCAGGCAGCCAGGCAAGCCAAAAGGCAGGCAGGCAGGCAAGCAGGCGACGCGCAGCGTGCTAGCAGGGCAAGAGCTCACCAGTGGTGGGAAGAGTAGGCTCGGCGACTCAGCGGCTCGGCAGCTCGGCGGCTCGGCGGCTCGGGCGACTCGGGCGGCTCGGCGGCAAGGCGGCTCGGCAGCAACTGCAGCTCAGCTGCTCGGTGACTCAGCGGCTCGGCGGCAGGGCGGCTCGGCAGCAACTGCAGCTCAGCAGCTCAGCGACCCGGCGGCTCGGCGGCAGGGCGGCTCGGCTGCTGGGCGGCTCGGGTGCAGGGCGGCTCGGCGGTGGGGCGGCTCGGCTGCTGCAGTGGGAGATGAAGGAGGAGGAGAAGCAGGGGAGGCCACACACCTGCCACCCCTCTGCTGGCCTCTCCCGCAAGCGGCCCCCTCAGGTCGCCTCGACAGGCGACGGGAAAAGGGGGGGCCGCGTAAGGGCCTGGGCGGGGCCGCGACAGAGTCGTCGGCGGGGCCGCGTGAAAGCCGGGGCGGGGCCGCGTAGAAGCCGGGGCGGGGCCGCGCGAGAGCAGGCAGCGGGGCCGCGAAGGAGCCGGGGCGGGGCCGCGTGAGAGCAGGCGGCGGAGCCGCGTAAGGGCCTGGGCGGGGCCGCGACAAAGCCGTCGGCGGGGCCGCGTGAAAGCCGGGGCGGGGCCGCGTAGAAGCCGGGGCGGGGCCGCGCGAGAGCAGGCAGCGGGGCCGCGAAGGAGCCGGGGCGGGGCCGCGTGAGAGCAGGCGGCGGGGCCGCGACAGAGAGGGCGGCGGGGCCGCGTCAGTGAAGGCGGCGGGGCCGCAGGGGAAATGGCGACCCGAGGGGTCGCTAAAAAAAAGATCGCGCCTCGGGGGGCGCTTCGGTGGGCCCAAAAAAAACGGTCCGTAGAAGGACCCGCTCTATACCATGTGAGAATAAGCGAACAGGAATGTGTGAACTAGCAGTGAAAATGAGTACAAGTAGGAAACCCTAGAATTGTGTACCCCCTATAGGCTAACCCACTGTAGCCTACACAAGCATAACATATATAATGTTTGACAGGTAGATATTATCCATACGTGGGTTTTTCTGCGGTATAGTGTCGTTTCCGATTTGCCTCCAGAATTTGGCGTCGAGGAATTCAATCTCCATAGCAGAAAGGTCTGTGCATAGGAATACCGTATACGATTCTTAACAAGGTGCTCCCTAAGACAAGATGTTATGCGATTGTTTAGCCCCATACTTTTACCTCCTTGTAGAAGCCGAGTATTAAACGTAGATTAAGTGTCGTAGAAGGCCGTCCGGTCGTCAATTATTTTATTCGGCTGGCCCTCCCTTTGATGGCGAGTTCTATCGGCTGCATTGCTAGCTCCATACGCGCCCTACAAATTTCGCGAGTGTAGTGAAGGTTTGCATAGCAAAAATACATCTCTCATTGTATTGTATACAACAACACCTATATTTATACACGGTTAAAAAAAAAAAACGGAAAGGAAAATCTATTTCTACTGCGGTACTAACAAGACCTCCAAAGAACTCGTCTGCCTCTATCACTCCTGGTCGCCAGTGCCGGTGTTCTCCTCCGTCTACGCATCCTTCGTCGCGTTCCCCTTCGCGGACGATTTCTTGGTTTTCTTCTCCTTATCTGCTCGTGTTGTGGTATCCTGGCCGCCCAACTTCTTCTGCAAGACTCCGAGGCAGACGCCCTGGTGCTGACGAAGGCCTCTTGATGCCATGCTGCATAGGCACCAAGAGGTCACCACCTTTGCCACCACCCTTGTCATCCGCTTTGTATCCCCGGCCGCTCGCGACTCTGCCGAAAGCGCTTTCAGCAGCGCATCCGACAGGGGCAGAATCCACGCTTCCTTGTCATGCTCCTGATCCTTGACCGACCTCATCGCCTCAACCGCAGCGCAAGCAACTGAGGCTGCAAGCGTCGCAAGGGCATCGAGGACGGCAGAGGTCACATCGGCCGCAGAAGATGACGAGGCAGCCGACGAGGCGGTGGCAGCAGTGGACGATCTGGCAGCAGAAGATGCTATGGCCGTAGAAGTTCCACGTGCAGCTGATGTTGCGCTCGTCTCCCACTGGGTCTGGTCCACATTCGTGGATGCGGCCCACATTACAGACAATGTGGCGGCAAGTCCGACTGCGTGTTCTTCCGTCGAATAGCCGTTTTCACCCTCCACGCCTCCCACCATCTTCTGCCACGCAGTTATTCCGACACCAGCGCAGGCAGCTACCTGAAAGCCATCCCCCTGCTGCTGCCGAAGAGCCGTGTTGGTTTGAACGAGTGAGAATCTGCACAAGACACCAGTGACGCAAGATCAGAACCATCGAACTTCGCGGGTGTTTAGAAGTTGCAACTGTCCATCACATAAACACTCACCCGTCCGGTTTATCCAGGTGGAGCTCGTTGATGACGCTCCACACCCCTGTTGGAAGCCACGTTGTGAAGTCGAGGTCTTCCCGCCCTTGTTAATACGGTTTGGATTCATGCCGTATGCCTGCATGTCAATATCCGGGAAGTAGCACTTCCAGCAGACTGCGACCGTGTATGCCCTCTCCCACACCGTTTTGTGAGAGCCGAGGTTCCGCTTCCGGTCGCCGACGGTCTGCTCAGACGTCCACTTCTGCAATGCTCCCTCGCCCCGTTGAGAGAACCCGCTTCCCCTGAACGGCAGGCAGACACCCAAAGTCTTACCCTTGTCGTCCACTACGGCGTTTTTCCTGTTGTCACACTTGTCGATCTTCATCCCTTTCTTTTCCCCTGGGATTATCGGTATCAACTCCTGTATACCAGCTGCACGCCGTCTCTTAGCTGCATGACCCTCCGGCTCCCTGTCCTCCTGTCTAGGCCGCCTCCTGGACACCTCTACGTTCTGTCCGGGAACAATAGCCACGCCCTCTGCTACATTCGCCTCCCCGCTCTCAATCAACAGCAAACTCCCCAGGCCCTCAGCTATTTCCTCCTCGACTCCCTTCCAGGTCCCCTCCCCCTGCATGGTCAAATCCTCCTCTTCCATCTCCCTTGCCAATCGTTCCGTCTCTTCAGCCATCGCCTTTGCCTTTGCCTCCAGTTGCCGCTGCTGTTCCGCGTAGGATGCAAGTCTGGCCCTCTTCTTTGCTCGGCACTGCTCCGCCTTCTGCAGGCGCTCCATCTCCTGCTGTTTCGCCCTCTGCCGCCGCTCGGCCTCCTCTGCCTCCTTCTTCTGCGCCTCCTCCTTCTGCAGGCGCTCCATCTCCTGCTGTTTCGCCCGCTGCTGCCGCTCGGCCTCCTCTGCCTCCTTCTTCTGCGCCTCCTCCTTCTGCAGGCGGTCCAATTCGTGCTGTTTCGCCCTCTGCTGCCGCTCTACCTCCTCTGCCTCCTTCCTCTGCCTCTCCTCCTTCTGCAAGCGCGCCATCTCATGCTGTTTCTCCCTCTCCTGCCTCTCGGCCTCCTCTGCATCTTTCTGCTGCGCCTCCTCCTTCTGCAGGCGCGCCATCTCCTGCTGTTTTTCCCTCTCCACCCGCTCTGCTTCCTCTGCCTCCTTCCTCTGCGCCTCCTCATTTTGCTGGTGCTCCTTCTCCTGTTGTTTCTCCCTTTCCTCCCGATCGTCCTCCTCAGCCTCCTTCCTCTGCGCATCCTCCTTCTGTCGCCGATCTCCCTCCGTTGCCTTCCTACCCTGCTCCTCCTTTTGCCGCCGCTATGCGCCCAATCTCAGAACTACTGACAGCCGCTTTTCCACCTCACTTAGCATCCCCTCCTTCCACCCCTTCATCCCCGTCTTCATCTCCTTCACAGCCTCCATCACTTCCTTCATTCCCGCCTCCACCTCCTTCTGCCATCGCTCTTCCTCCTGATGTTTCTTCTTCCTCCGCCGCTCTGTGGCCTCTACATCCTTCCTCTTCTCCACTTCCTCCTTCCGCCATTGCTCGTCCAGTTGTTTCTTCTTCTCTCTCTCCTCGTCGTCCGCCACTTGTTTCCTCTTCGCGTCTTACTGTTGTCGCCGCTCCGCGTCCTCTTGCCTTGCCTTCTTCTGCCGCTCGGATTCTTCTCGCAAAACCGCGCTCAACCTCCCCACAATCGGGTTTACCATCCCATCCTTCATCTCCTTCATTTCTGCCTTCATCTCCATCATCGCCTCCTTCATCTCCTTCATTCCCTCTCTCATCTCCTTCTGCCGACGCTCTTCCTCCTGTTGTTGTTCCTTCTTCCGTCTCTCTGCGGCGTCTGCTTCCTTCCTCGTGGCCTTCTGCCTCCGCTCCTCGTCCTGCAGTCTATCCCTGTTCCGCCGCTCAGAGTCTTCTCTCAGAACCTCTCTCAACCTCTCTTCCACCCCCTTTAACGTGCCCTCCGCCATCCCCCCTCCCGACTGGCGAACCTGATCACTCACCCTTTCGATACTCTCCCACAAGTTGGAGAGTCTCGTGTCCACCTGCTCGCGAAACCTGGCCGCCGTTTCAGCTTGGCGCCGCCGTTCCTCGTTTCCATGGCTGACTTCTTCCAGGTTGGCCAGGGCGTCACGGCAGTAATGGACGGTCAGATCGGCCACATCGCGACTGATGTTGCTGTTGCGGGCCGCCAAGTTGCAGAACGTCTGCGTCACCATTCGGGCTAAGAGCGTCAGATGACGCATTACCTCTGCCGGGCTTATGTCCCAACTTTCGGCCTCGACGAACCTGTCACCTTGTTCGACTAGGACTGTACTCGTGCGCTGCAGCATCCGCCGTATTGCCGTCTCTGCCTCGACCCACTCTACCTGCCAAAACGCTTCTGCCACCTCGCCTTGGCCGAGATTCCTCTCCACTGCTCTCTGGTGAAGGGTAGGCCGCCTCTGCCTGTTGAGATCCACTGTATCCCTAGGCGCCCCATCGTCTGCCACCCTCCATGGCCCCTCTACCCCAGTTCCTGGTCCCCGCGTCGGACTTCCTCCCAAAAATATCCGGACTGCCGGATGTACCGTATCCTCCTCATTCTGCTCCTCTTCTGTTTCCAGCGCATCTCCCTCGTAGTGCCCCACTCCAGCTTCGGGACCACACGAACCTCCTCTGTCAGAACATTATAGCTCATGCATATTGTGTAGGCTATAGTGGGGTAGCCCATAAGGGGTACAACCCAATTAGGGTTAGTACTTGTACCCAATTCATTCATAGTTCATTAATTCTCGTTTCTTCTCATGGTATCGAGCAGGTTCCCTAACGGGAACGATTCCTAGGGCCCACCACTACGAATTTTTTTTTTCCCTGCCCGGAGCGCGCTCCGCTTAGGCCCGAGTCGCGCCCCGTGTGCTTTCCTTACCGTCGCGCCCTCGCTAGGCCCCTCACGGCCCCGTCGCGTCGCCCTTAGCGGCCCCTAGCGGCCCCGTCGCGCTGCCCTAGCGGTCGCGTCGCGCCGCCCTAACGGCCGCGTCGCGCCGCCCAAGCCGCCCTCACGGCCCCCTAGCGGCCTCTTGCGGCCCCGATCCGCCGCTTTTGCGGCCCCGATCCGCCGCCCTTCGCGGCCCGTCGCCGCTCTCCCCCTACGGCCCCTCGCCGCCCTTTTACCAGCGGCCCCGTCGCCGCCCTTGCACGGCCCTGACGCCGCCCTCCCTGCGGCTCTGTCGCCGCCCTCTTCAGCGGCCCGTCGCCACCCTTCTCAGCGGCCCCGCCGTCTCCTTTCAGCGGCCCCGCCGTCTCCTTTCAGCGGCCCCGCCGTCTCCTTTCAGCGGCCCCGCCATCTCCTTTCAGCGGCCCCGCCGTCTCCTTTCAGCAGCCCCGCCGTCTCCTTTCAGCGGCCTCGCCGTCTCCTTTCAGCGGCCCCGCAATCTCCTTTCAGCGGCCCCGCCGTCTCCTTTCAGCGGCCCCGCCGTCTCCTTTCAGCGGCCCCGCCACTACCCCTGCAGCGGCCTCGTCGCCGCCCTTTCAGCGGCCCCGCCGCTTCCTTTAAACGGCCCCGCCGCCTCCTCTCGGCGGCCCCGCCGCCTCCTCTCTGCGGCCCCGCCGCCTCCTCTCGGCGGCCCAGCCGCCTCCTCTCAGCGGCCCCGGACGCCGCCCTCTCAGCGGCCCTTCCGCCGCCTCCTTAACGGCCCCGCCAAGCCGCCCAGCAGCAGAGCCGCCGAGCCGCCCAGCAGCCGAGCCGCCGATCCGCCCAGCCGCCGAGCCGCCGAGCCGCCCAGCCGCCGAGCCGCCCCGCAGCCGAGCCGCCGAGCCGCCGAGCCGCCCAGCAGCCGAGCCGCGGAGCCGCCCAGCAGCCGAGCCGCCGAGCCGCCCAGCAGCCGAGCCGCCGAGACGCCCAGCTACCGAGCCGCCAACCGCCCAGCTGCCGAGCCGCCGAGTCGCCCTGCAGCCGAGCCGCCCGAGCCGCCCTGTCTGGTAAGAGCAGCGCCTCTGTCACTGCGCTGCCCTCTGTTGGTGCAACCCTACGGTTTGCACTCGGCTTGTTGTCCGTGTGCGTGCATGTGTGTGTGTATGAAATGGTATGAGGGCATGGGATAATATATATTTCATGCTTATAATTGTGTGTGAATGTTGATTCATGATGTCGAGTGTGTGTGTGTCGAGTCAATAGCGAGTTATCGCTAGACGCGTGTTACGCGGTCGTTTGTGTCTCGCACGAGGTTTCTATTTTGTCGTGCGCGGTTTCTATTTTGTCCTGTGTCGAACGTTCAGCGTGTCGCAGGTGTGTGTAGAAGACCCATCAAGAACTCAAGGATGAGTTTGTGATGAAGAACCCGAGCCTTGGTGTCAAGCCACAAGTGATTTCGAAGCTCGCCAAAAGGGTGCACCTCAAGATATTGAAGATAGTTACATTACTTTGTGTAGTGTAACATTTCACTTGGTGTAGGCCCTAGTGAAGGGTAGTTTCGAGACCCTTCGTGGTTGGGGACAATGGGGCAATGGGACACTGTTCCACATCACTGTACCTCGGCTCTTGGGGTTTGTAAGAGCTGGGAGTCATTCCCAACTCGTAACTCTTCCTAACTCTTCCTATCTTGTGTTCTAAGACTATGTTGCTGCCATAGTGCCGTTCGTTCAAACCAACGCAGTGTCGTCAATACTTGGTCAAATCGTGCGATCTAAATTGCCCAGTATAGGCGAGAATAAGACGCTCCAGATCCAAGTTGAATCAAGTCATCTGATGTTGTGACCAGAACGCTATGAACGTTTGAAGCCGCTGTGCAGAAATCCGACTGTGCACTCTATCTTTCGTTTTAGGCACATTGGAGCCTACTGTGACTATAACAAGTGGTATCAGAGCCCCTTGGAGCAGTTTCGACGATGGCTGGACCTGAGGAAAGGGGTGGCAGAGGTGCTGGTGGCAGAGGAGAAGCCCAAGCTCAAGGCCAACCCCGTGATTCAGCCATGGCGCCTGTGCAACCAAGTGTTGGCCCATCTAGGGATGAGCCTAGAGTATTTGGCCTTGACAAGTTCAATGGTGACAACTTTGCTGAGTGGTCCTTCAGAATGGAGAACATATTTGACCACTATGACCTGCTGGAGGTGATGGAAAGAACGGAGAAGCGTCCCGAGAACGACCTGGAGAAGAGCCCGTGGGTGCGGAAGAGCGCACAAGGCTACCTCCTACTTGGGCAAGCGTTGGGGAGCAGCCAAATCCGTCACATTAAGCCTTTCCAGCGTGAACCAGAGAAGGGACCAAAGGCATGGGCTGCTCTCAAGGGTGTACACGCTCCTACAACAGCGGCGGTAGCTGTGGTGTTGGAACGGCAAATGGCAACACTACGAATTGAAGAGGATGAAGCGGTTGAAGAAGGGGTGCAGAAATTCTTCGACTTGTTGACGCGGCTTGAGGGAGCTGATTTGAACTATAGTGAGCTCCAAAAGAAGACCAAGTTGCTGGCCCTACTCCTTGAGTCACGGTCCTCGCTCATCATCAACCTTAATCGCGACTTGCCCCGCCTCTCGCTTGAAGACGTTAAGCGAGCTATCCTTCAAGAGGATTTCCGCCGCCGTGAGTTGGCGAGTGCGGATGGCGCTGGGGCAGCGAGCATCGGCCGTGGATATGGTCGAGGAAGAGGTAGAGGACGAGGGGGAGGAAGTTTTGGTGGCAGCAACTTCGGCGGAGGCCGCGGGAGTGGCGGTTACGGCAGCGACGACAAGAGCTACGGACACGGTCGCGGCCGATTCAACGGCGAGTGTCACTATTGCCACAAGAGCGGACACATGTGGTGCGACTGCTACAAAATCCCTGATGGTTGGACCCCTGCTCAAGGCCAAGAGGGTAGAGGAGCAGGAGGAGGGAGAGGACGAGGCCGTGGAGGCCGTGGCGGTCGCGGTGGCGGAGCTGCAAACATGAAGAGCGGAGACAACGACAAGGACCCGAGCGACGATCGGTACCCGGGTCTATTCTACTTCGTGTCGACGCAAGTACCAGCTGGTCCAGAAAAGGATGAAGGCTTTGAGGAGCCAGCAGCTGTGGGGAAGGTGACCCTACACCCCCTGGACTATTGGGTGATTGATAGTGGCGCTACCTATAGCATGACACCTCGCACGGACTTGCTCACCGAACTCGAGCCGTCACCGGTGAAGCATGTCACATCGGCTTTGGGGCAGCGAGCAGAGGTGAAAGGCATGGGCAAGGCCATGTTCAAGGGTGCTGATGGGAAGATGGTGGGCCTCAAGAACGTGCTTTGGGTGCCCAGCCTCGCTGCGAACCTGATCTCCGTGCGGCGGTTGGCAAAGGCCGGCATGGACACGAACTCGAAGGGAGCTAAGACCTACACCGCAAGGCTTGGCGATCGAATTCTTTGGGACCTTCATGAGGACAGAGATGTCTACAACGAGATGTGGCAGATCCCAGTGGTCCCTATGCCTAAGGAGAGGCAAGTGGCAGCAAGCATCAGCATTAAGGATGGAGCGGTTGGTAGCGACGATGGCGCGAACGGTCGCGCTAAGGAGAATGAGCTCAAGAAGAGCAAACCTGGAGGGACCAGCAAGTTCAGTGAACCTAAGGAGAGTGGTGCAGCAACCAAGGAGCAGCAAAAGGGTGAGGAGAACCCCGAGGCAGCAGCGGAGGAGGACTACGGAGAAAGTATGTGGGGCGCTATTGCGAGCGCGGCATTCTCCAATCCAACTTCGGCTACGGGGGAGTGTGATTGGCTCACCTTGCATCGGCGCATGGGGCATGTGGCCCTGCCCATCTTGCAGCAGCTAGTGAAGAATGAGATGGTTGCTAGCATACGTGTGAAAGGGGAGCCCAATGAGGTACTTGGCTGCCCGACGTGCATGCAAGCCAAGTTCACCCGATTCCCGTTCTCTAGTTCGGAGGCGACGGCTAAGGCACCGCTTGATGAGGTGGTGATGGACGTGGTGGGCCCCCTGAAGCTTGGAGCTGCTGGAGCTGAGTATTTTCTCACCATTGTCGACGTCTACACCCGCATGACTTGGGTGTATGTGCTGGCCAAGAAGAGCGACGTGGCTGGTTGAAGACGGATTGGTTCCCGATGGTGGAGCAGCAACAAGACCGTCTAGTCAAGTCAATCCGCACCGATCAAGAGGGAGAGTTCCTGAGCAAGGAGTTTGGGTTGTGGCTGAAGAAGAATGGTATTTGGCACTCCCTCACCATGCCATACTCCCCTGCAATGAACGGCATCGCCGAGCGAGCGAACCGCAC